ACATATATATATATGTAGATATATATATATATCAAAACATATATATATATATATTCATATATATGTATATATATATATACATATATATATATATATATATATATATATATGTATTGTGAGTAACTTATTTAGTTCACGAACTGTTTTAGAGTGAATAGCGTTATACTTTCTATCATCAAATTAGTGTAATAGCTTACAAAGTTGTGAGGACAGATCAACCCATAACCTTGTCTCATATAGTCTTAACTAAATATTGCCTATCGCCAGTCCCCTCTGGTTACTGACACAACATCCTCCCTGAGTGCCCGATATCCCTTATAGTCCGTCACTCGTCTTTTATATATTTTGTACTTCTCTCTACTTTACAGCTTACGCTCTTCTGCTGTTGGCGCCCACACATACCGAATCAGCTGTGTGCAGAAACCAATATCATAAGACGCACAACACTGTTCCTTCACCCTAAAACTAGCCTCTCCTACACTCGAGCCATCAAGCATACCTCACAACTGTACATGAGTCATCAAACATGACTCGCTACTATGTATATATATATATATATGCAATTATTTGCCGATAAACATTAGACAGCCTCGTATGCGTGCGTGTGCATGTAATAGTCTTTCAAACTTATTCATTGTGACCGTTGAATTGAACATATTCCTCTCCAAGGGTGTTCGCGGTATCTATACTACAGATTACCTGTCAGAACATACACAAACTTTTGCAAGGCGGCTTAAATTGACCAAATCAATCGCTCTCACCAATTCCCGCTTCAATGAATCACTTCTGCAATGACCCGAATTAAATGTCCTATAACTTCTTTTCGGATCGCAGGTGAAGCAAATTTTGGATGTGCATAATAAGGTGCTGAAGGGCGCTGGCCCCAGCACAGCCTGCCATATCACCGGTTGGGATTCTCTACCTCCAGCTGGTGCTGTACTTGTGGAGGTGTGTATGGTGTTACTTGGGTGTATTATATCGCTGGTGAATAGTGCTATGATCGAGTGTCATCTGCAGCCGTGAGAGGATGAGTGAGCCTCGATAAATAAGTTTGTATATCAGGTTTTTAAAATTTATATACTACTATATTATATATATATATATTAGTGTTATGTCATGATATGTATGTATAAGATTCTTATGAGATGTGCGGGCGTGATCTAACATACGTAGGTTTGTGTACTGGAGAGACTGTATCCAAAAGCGGTAGCCTATGGAAACGCCATTGCATTATTGTGACCGAAGATTACTGCAAAGCTAATTGTTTCGAGTTGGAATTAAATATCTTTATAGATTGGGTTTATGTGAAGTTGTAGTGTTGCGATGCTACACAAATGAATGAGTGGTCTGGGCTAGAAGTATGACTTTGAAGTGTTTGATAACCTGTGTATGTGATGCTCGATTCAACAACTGCCCTCGTAGAGGTGTTTTGTGTAGTTAGGTGCTTCGAAGTGCGTGTCAGAATACGATCTATGAGTGTGCCAGATTATTGTTTGTGGAGGTGTGTGTCTTTCAATAGGGTATATTTGGGGCATTGTTGCAGTTGTATGGGTAGTTAGTGGAGGTGTGTGAGCCGGTGAGTATTGGGAGTGGTGTTGATATGCTGGTCGCTTGTTGGTACCTGAATGTGAGTGGCGTTGGCACCTGGATTGCAATTTCACGGATTTCGAGATTTGTCTCATGTTGAGGTGGATATGTTGTACGTCAAAATCCAAACCTTGGAGCCCAAAACCAAGATCGAAAACTGACATCTGGGTTGTGCTTGATACCCTGATTTTTATTAGGTCGCATCAGAAAAGGTGGCGAGGTCTATTTTGGACAAGCGCAACTCACAAAGTGAAAGATTAGAAAGTCTTAAACGACAGACCGACTCCTCCAGGCTGAGCAACAAAGACCAGAAAATCATCAACGAAGCGAAATTGGGTAGGTATCATGTTGGATGGGAGGGTTTTTTTAACTGTAATAGGAGACGAGAGATATGCTTTTGCCAAAATTCTGTTTACTATCTTTACGCCGGAAAGTAAAGTCCAGAAAGTCATCTAGCAAGTGAAATTGTTATTCATATTAGCACGAAGTATTACATTTTCGAGATAAAAATGAAGAGCGTTAAACCCATAAAAAGCCTATTTTTCAACAATCTGGCTATGTAATGCTCTTGATTTTTGGTTTTAGGTGGTAAGACAGGTCCCGACGACGCTCCCAGGTTGACCCGCAGAGACAAACGCTTCGCCCTGAGACAGAAGTTGGCAGCCGAGAATTGGGACAAAGTGGAAACCAAAAAGGAATACTTTGTCGACGATCCGGAATGTATGTGTGATGTGTATGAATTTGTTATTCCAATATGGCAGTGGATCTTGCTCGCAATACGCCGGAACCTTACTGGCTGTAGAAATACAATCAAGAACGGATTTTGGATGTTGTCGCCCGATTCCTGATTCTATGTTTGTGGTTTTCTCGGGATGGTTGAGTGAGAGCCTGCTTAATACGTGCATGCCTTCTTTGACATTTGTAGACGATTTTAGCGTTCACTTATACATTTGTAGATGGTTTTAGCGTTCACTTATATATTTGTAGACGATTTTAGCGTTCACTTATACATTTGTAGACGTTTTTTTACGTTCACTTGTACATGTGTAGAAGTTTTTAGCGTTCATTTATACATGCGTAGACGTTTTTTACGTTCACGCTCAACGTCAATACGGGATGAATGCAGAATTTGCTACGTACCCATGACGAGGGCGAGAGCACAGGTCTAAGCACCCCCTCAATTAATATATGTACGTATTACCACCACGTTCAGACACGTCTATGCCGGCACTGCATGATAGCGTATTCTGAGTGATACTTTAATTTGAACCACCATGCTCTGCTTTTACTGATGTACCGTACTTCACCTTGAATTGCAGACGACTTCGGTGAACAGCTGACACTCCCGGTCGTGATTCGTGGGGATGTCGAGGGTACAGTGAGTGCGTTGCAGCAGTCGTTGGTGGCACTAAAGAACCGCAAGATCAAGACCGATGTGATTGCGAGTGGTGTTGGTAAGTATGTGTGTCAATATACACGCATACATAAATATGAGTACAGACATCAATGATGGTCTTCATTCAGGGTTATAATACTGATTTGTATGCGAGTGGTGCTGGTATATAAACATGTGCATATGCACGCACAATTACAGATACGTAAACACAGTATTGATTGTTTACACTTAGGAAATATCGTTTA